TAATGTTATAATAAAATAATATGGAATTTAAGTTGAGATCACAGCGAATACTAATGTTATAATAAAATAATATAGCATTTAATCAGAACTGGAATAAAATAACCTCAAAAATGATGTTTTTAATCCTATTATATCCACATAAGAACTCTAATCTAAAAAGATTACACGAAGACAAAAAAAATAACCAAGTTTAAAAAGGTTAATTTATGAATTAACTAATGAAAATTGAATCAGAGACTCGATGCTTTGACCTTTCTGCAGAAATATAATTCTCACACGGCCCAGTTAGTATCTACTAATAAAACAAATATCTATTACTCTAATGTATCGTCAAGTTGTAAAGTCAAACATGATCAATAAAAACTATACTATTCAAAACATTATTATAGTCTATATAATTTTTTAACAGGATTCAAAAAACATCTCAAGCAAATAATGATCCAGAAAAATATACACCATTTTGATGCTATCAGTGAAGATAGAATAGACCTCTTACTGTGTCAAGAAATATAGATTATGTAATATCTTGTATTGCGAAAAAAAAATCAGCTATGTAGACTCGAATCCGCTTTACGCTTCTGCTATGTGTATCAAGTTAAATTTCTTCTCTATTATTCCTTAAGGCTAGTGTGCACTTTTGATTTTTGACGTAAATTTTACGTGATTTTTGGGTGTTTTTTAGTATATAATATCCTCAAAATGTTGTAACTGTGTAGAATTAAGGTGACCGCCTTTATCTTTTTTCTGGTAATATTTATTATTATTATTATTATTGGAGTTCTGGTATGTGTGATATTTGGCAGATTGAATTATCATTTTCTCATATTACGCGAATAACTCGAATTTCATTAGTTCTTTCCGCCTATCTCTTTTATCTTAATTTCAGGGGCATTATCTGGATTTTATAAGGTTTTAGAATACTCGGGTATATTTATAGCCGATCATTAATCTTGCGCAAATCGTTAGATCAATTTTTTCAAAATTTTTTTGCTTTAATATGTATAAAGCCAAAGTAGATATTGATAATTTGGACCTTAATCGTATTTATACATTTGATGAGTTTGAGTTTATCAATGAGCAACTAAAGACACGTACCTTGGTGATCAATGGTGATCCAGTAAATCTGTTTGAGTTCGATAAAGGAAAACTTTTACCAGTGCCACA